CCAAAACATATTTTAAAGATCATTATTGTTATGATAAAAATAATAATAAAAAAAAACTCTCCAATTCCTACATATCTATTTTTAAAAAAATATTTTTTCATATTGTATTTGTCTAGTTTCTAAATTCCTTTTATTTTATTTTTTAATAATATTTTCGCTTAAAAGTCGTTAAAATATACCGCTAAATTTACGGTAAACGATAAATAAAATATTACGTCATTAGCAACCAGTAGGACGATGGTTCGCAAAAACGTTTACATTTTACCAGTTTGCAGTTCGTCAGGGTTAGGGTTTCACATTCGCTACCTTCAAGGAATAGCGCATAACTTGACATTTTGATGAAAAATTAAATATTTTATATAAATATTTAAAAAAAAAATAAAGAAATAAACATAACTACATTTTGATAATTTTTAAGTAAAAAAAATTTTTTTTTTGACGATATATTTCCGGGGGGATTTTTTCCTACCATATATAACTTAAATATATCTATATATTTTTATATCACTTTTTACTTTAAAATTTACTTTTTTCGTAGAATAAAATACTAAATTACCTTACTTACTTTATCTAATACGTTAAACGTTCTGTTTTTTAAACATTTGACTACAATATTTTTTTAATATTAAAGTAGGATTTTCTATCAGTTTTAGTTAAACCATTTTCAGTTTCTATCAGTTTTAGTTAAACCATTTAAAACTGTATTACTTAATTACTTTTCTTAACGATAATTAAAATTCCTGTAAAAGATATCTTTAACACGTTTTAATTGCAGCAAAATACCATAAGGCGCAGGGCCCATTTTGTCCAACCCTGTGCCCGCTCCTGTGACTGCATTATAACTTCATAAAAATGCTACAACTGCGAAACAGCGCAATCTGTATCTTGTGTATAACAATATGAAATCAAAAAATTCTAAAAACATGATTACTTATTATACTGCAGGCACCCACTCAAGAGTTTATAAAACCGTATACCACTTTTGAACTTGACAAAGTCAAGTTTAAATTTTTTTATTTACCCGCATAAAACTGAGAAAGCCATTACAGTCGAGAAGGCTACTTAAATGTGGTTAAAACCCTCTCTTAACTCTTTAACTCCGAAACAGGAATCTTGACGAACTAGGTCGCTGCGCGGAGAAACATGTTGATTTTATAAATGTATGATGAAAAAGTGTAGTTTGGTATCTTACTAATTAAAAGAAAGTTTTGACGACTCATTTTGGAAGTTTTGATGAGTCATTATCTTCTACATAAGATGACAACTTGAAAGTAACTCATATTGTTATTTTTAGAAATCTAAAAACCTTCAACTACTTTATATTGTTGACCTCTTGAAATTTGGAAAAGAAATAACTAACTTAATGTTCATTTGAGCATTTTCAAGAGTTTCTCTAATGCATCGGAGAAACTACTTTAAAAGGAGTGATTTCTAATATTGTAGTGTTTCGTCTATACTTCATACAAGATATCAGTCAAAAAAGTAGTACCCTAGAGGAGACGTAAATAAAGTTATTTTTAAAGAACAAAAAAATGGAATATACATAAGGGTTTCCAACAAATAATTGGGTTTATTGGTGACTATTCAAAGTGTGAATGATAGGAACTCAAGGTAATACTGTTCGAAAAACCTTTTCATATTACAGAAATAAATAAATAAATAATTGAAAACCTCCATCTAATTCTAATTTGTATATTAAGTCAATTTGAAGTATATATATATATATATATATATATATATATATATATATATATATATATATATATATATATATATATATATATATATATTATATATATATATATATATATATATATATATATATATATATATATGTATATATATATATTTGAAACATATACTTATATATCAATAAGTTTCGCTGTTACCTGGAAACTGAAAAGCTCATTTTATGCGTAAAAATTTGCAAAAAATTTTTTCATAATAAAGTCAGCAAAAAATTAGACATTTTCATAATTATTTTATTATACCGATCATTTCACTCTACCCTGATTTACTCCTTTATATTTATTTTACTCCTTTATATTTATTCTATATACTTAAGTTAAAAAAGTGATGTTTATTTATTTAGAATGATTTCAATAATACTGATGCTAAAACAAATACTAGTCATTTCACATTAGTGAGGTTTGTTAAAAAAAAAAAGATTGTTACATTAAAGTAATAAATTATATATATATATATATATATATATATATATATATATATATATATATATATATATATATATATATATATATATATATATATATATATATATATATATATATATATATATATATATATATATATATATATATAAATATATATATATATATATATATATATATATATATATATATATATATATATATATATATATATATATATATATACATATACATATATATATATATACATTTGCAGAAGATAGTTTTATTAGAAGTTACATATATTTGTATTGGAGTGTTTTTTGTTGTTGAAGAAATCTTTGTCATGTTATAAAACAACATTGTTATAACTTTTTCTTGAAAAATCTAAAAAGTTAAACTTCTATAAACAAAAGCTATCTATTTGAATGATGAGTGAAAAACAAATGGAGTCATAAATTGTTATTATAAAAGATCAATTTGCAATGTTTACATTTTAAGCACATTAATGGTGAAAATGTAAACATGGCAGATAGTGGTAAATGTAAACATGGCAGATAGTGGTAAATGTAAACATGGCAGATAGTGGTAAATGTAAATATGGCAGATAGTGATGACCTCACCTTTTTTAATGCTAATAGCTTAAAACGGTGTCAACTAAAGTTGATAAAAGTTTCAAGAAAAATCTTAAAAAATAAAAATGGAGTTTTGTCACAAAGCCAAATATTCTGGCACATTAACAATTTTATCAATAACTAAAAATAAAAATTTTGTAAGAAAGTTTTACTCTTCCAAGAGACAGTTGACAATGTCCCCAAGTTGGTATAAATGGTTCATTATTATTCAGGTGACAGAATTTTAAATAAACTTGCTTACTAGTAGCTGCTAATAATAATTTTTTGTAAAACTGTACTGTGTGCCCACAATGTTACTTTTTGGAAAAAATTTATAACTCCGTTAATTGTTTATAAAGTCTTGTGAAAATTTTAGTATAATAGTTTATTGGGTAAACGAATCTGATTCTGAGGTCAAATTTTATGTTTGTACACCCAGGGAATTAGGCGAGGGTGGTGGAAAAAAGGTGCCAATAGGTTAACCTCCATTCCTTATTTTCCAATTTTTTAAAATAATCTATAAAATATAATTTAAAACATAGAAATATTTAAAAAAAATTTGCCTGATACCTAACCGCCACCTCCCCCCATTTAACGCCACGATAGCATTCAAAATATGTAAATATTAAACACAAATATATTAAGATAAAAATATGATTACACAAACCTTTCTTGAATTATCTTTTTTTCCTCACAAAGGACATTGTTTACTTCTATTTTACACCCTTTTTTGGTATATCCGTTTTGCAAAAGTCTTTCTTTAAAGCCTTTTTCTAATGGAAAAAGTCTTTCTTTACTGGCATTCATTGAATGTATTCTTATCATCAGTCTGCAGTAAATGTCTTGCTTTCCTGATTTATAATGTATTTATTCCAAATTTCTCTTGACTGCTCACTGAGCAGTCAAGATACTCTGCTAGATACTCTGAGCAGTGCTCAGAGTATCTAGCAGTAAGTGGCTATTGACAAACTATTTATGACTTGTAGTCATAAATAGTTTGTAGGAATATGCTCACGTTTGATGTACGCTGAGGCTAGCGAACTCATGGAAATGTCTATTTATGGAGTATTTTTAATCCGTAAGCAACTTTTTTAGCTTTATCAGGATCAACTTTTTTGTTAGCACTAACATGCCAAATAATGTTTAAAAATATTTAGAACTTAGATAACAAGGCTTAGAAGTTATCTTGGTTTTCTGTTTACAAATTACAGAACAGATTGACTCTCTATCTTTTGGACTAAAAAAGCGATCTGCTATTTTTCCATAGTTAGCGTTACCACCACAGGAAGAAAGAGAATCAACGAGCACTACGGTTTTCCTGCTACAGTTTGAGCAACTTTTCTTTATTTTCTTCATGGCAATATTGCATTACCATGTGTTACTGTGCACATTGAATAAAAATTGATAATTAGATAAAATTTGAAACTTGTAGATGAATTTAAATTGAGCATAAAATCCCAAGCTCCAACCACCGCAATTTTTTTCAAAACATCTTTATTTAACATAAGTATAAACATAATTCCTGAAAAATTCTGTCCCTAATAACTAAAGATTTGGCTTCGCAAAGAAAACTGAAGGTAAAAGGTCCTAGCTCCATAAAAGTCAGTTTAAAAAATTTAACTGCATTTTTTAAATGCATTTTTTTTAACTTGTATAAAAATACATATTCGAATATTTTTATAAATTAAAGTAGAATTATATATTATCTTTGTATTTAATAAAAATTAAAATGAGTGCTTTTGTATTTAGGGAGAAAATTAAGTTTTAATAATGATAAATTTTATTGATTAAAAAATCTGTTTTTAGTCCAAACTTTAAGTGTTTTTAAATCACTGTGCACTGCCACGAATGTCGATCACATATGTCTATATGTGTTCGACATTCTTAAATTCAACAAGCATATATTTTATGAAAAAGTTAAGCTTATATGTGGGCTTCAACAAGATATTTTTTCAATTACTTTGTTTCTAAATGAAATAATATATTTTCACACAATTTAACACTGTTTTTAGTTTAAATTAAAACAACAAAAAATATATGTTCGTAACACGTTTTTGTGTCTATTTTTTTTCTTTGCTCTGATTAAAATTTGCTCAACACAATATGAATTTACTATTTAAAGTTAAAAATAAATAATCAGAAAAATGAATTTTTTCATACGCTGGGCACACTGTGGAATGAAAGAAATCATACTTTTAGTAAGGTCTCAGCGAGTTTTATTACTGTTACGTCACAGGAGGTTGGGGTCAATCAATAGGGCGAACGCTATCTCCGATTTAACTTATGATTATATCAAAACATACGTTGTTCTTTTAATGTTTATCATAAATAATGGCGACTTGACTGTCACTCATTGCAAATCAATTGATAAATATTAAAAACATAATCCTTTATCCTGGAATCTACATAGGATTTAACACTAAAAATGGTAAATAATAAGCAAAATTATTACAATTTAAAAATTTGTTGTAATTAAAGGGTTTAGGTAATTTGATTTTGAGGTAATGGTACCTGAATTTTTTAAACCATTATTTGTTATGCTAATTAAAAAAAAAAAAGATTTTAATGTTACTAAATACGATGAATTTGTTCTGTGTAGAAAAGTAAAATATACAAAGTATAAAAACATGTTTTTTTAAATTTATTTTAGACAGAGAAACAGTTGGATTGTGCATTAGATTTAATGCGTAGACTGCCTCCGCAGCAGATTGAACGCAATTTAAGTGATTTAATTGATTTGGTAATGAAATTTTCTGTCATAATATTTTGTAATCAGATAATAAAGTAGTAATTGGAATATATTGTAATATACTTGTGTTATTCTTTGTGATTGCTATACTAAATGTTAAAAGTAAACACACTTTCAATTGATGTTATTGTATCTATACTCAAAAACAAGTATAATGTTATATATACAGTAGATTATGTGATTTAATTGAAATAAACTCCTTAAATATGTACTCAAAGCATAAAAAAAAAGTAAAAAAGCTCTACTATTTACTCTACTTTACTTCTAATATCTAAAATACTTTGTTGTTGCTATGTATCAGCACTGTATTATCCAAGTTGCACACAATAGCTAATTAAAGCAATAATGTAACAGAAGTTGACAGTGTATGTTGCTGGTATATATAGATAACTTGAAATATTTGTTAAAAAAGTTGTAAGTTGGTTTAAATGTATTTTTATTAGAACATTTCCTTTCAAATTTTATTATAATGACAAAAAAGAGGCCTACATTTTTTAGGACTAAAATTAATATTTTTGTTTTTATTTTTTTAGTTTTTAATTGTTTTAAAACCTATAATCAATAAACAGGGGGATATAACTTAACTTGTTATCTTTCTTAAAATGTTACAAATCAATCTTCGAAAGAAAATTTGTTAATTTTACTTAAATAAAAAATATAAAATCTCATTTTTTTTTAAAAAAAAAACAACTTACCCAATAAAAATGCAAGATTGAATTTAATTTAATGAAGTTGACACACAAAAATTTATTATACTTTGTTTGATATCAGTGATTAGTTTTTTATTTTTAAAAATAAACTTACATGTAACTTATTTTTAACACAACTTTTTTACTATGTTTATTATTTATATTTAAGGTTCCTGAATTATGTGAAGACCTTCTTTCATCCATCGATCAACCTTTAAAGATTGCCAGAGACAAAGAAACAGGAAAAGATTACTTACTTTGTGATTATAATCGTGATGGTGATTCTTATCGTTCTCCCTGGAGCAATACTTATGATCCTCCACTTGATGATGGTGCCATGCCATCAAATAAACTTAGGCAACTTGAAATAGAAGCAAACAATGCATTTGATCAATACAGAGACATGTATTTTACATTTACTAACTTTTATTTTAAGCTTTATATATATATCTTTTCGATTATAAATGATTAATCAACTTTTTAAAACTATTTTAAAATGAAATAATGATTTTTTTCACACATTTTTTTCTCAAAGAAATATGCTTTGAATAAGAATTTATTCAGAATATTCCAGTTTTTCTGGAAATATAAATTAAGTTTCAATATTTAAACACTAAAATGTTTAAATGTTATACAAATAGTAAGTTATTTGATAAATATTTTAACTATATTCAAGGTATTTTGAAGGCGGAGTTTCTTCTGTATATTTATGGGATTTAGATCGTGGTTTTGCTGGCGTTATTCTTATTAAAAAAGGTAGAAGTTTTAACAAGTAAAATATATTGTCAATATTTCATAATTTTTTTAATATTATAATTTTTTTAGCTGGAGATGGCTCAAATAAAATTCGTGGTTGTTGGGATTCTATTCATGTTGTTGAAGTTCAAGAGAAGAGTGGTGGAAGGAATGCTCACTATAAACTTACCTCTACTGCAATGTTATGGCTTCAGGTATATAGAATTATGTATATAAAGACTTTAAACAGAAGGCAGGCAAATTTTAATTTGTTTTTAAAAAAGTTTTTATTTCTTAAAGTTTCTGGTTACTTTTATTTTGTTAAAATTATAAAGTTATTATTATTTTTTTTAAATTATAAGTTTTTAATTTTATATATGTTTCTTAAGAATTAATTTTTAAAATTAAAAAAATTGTAATTTTTAAAATTTTAAGTTTGTTAAATTTTATGGTTTTTAAGAATTAAATTCATTAATTATTATTTTGATCAAAATGAATGATTCTATTATTTTAACTGAATTTTATTTTTCCTTTTATTTTTAAAAAGCGCATGTTTTTATCAAGCATTTGAGATTGATAAAAACATAATAACACTGTTATTGATAAACCTTAATAATTCTTCCAGAATTGTTGAATATAACTAAAATAATTTGTGTCCAAACCATTGCTAACAGCTGCAAATAACCCTTAAATTTTAATTTTTGGGAATGAGTTTGAAATAGTTTATCTGGTGAGAATGATTGTAACAATATTTCATACTAGATAAACAAGAACCTTTGTTCTAAGAAATCTAAGAGCAACCATAGGAAGCACATTATTTTTTAAATTAAATTTTTTTTTTTATGAAAGCATCAACCTCAGTAATAAAATAATCTTTTAAATGTGAACAAAAATGTATGTAAAAAAATAACTCAAGTACAGTGTGTTTTGCATATCAATAGATATGTAAAACATAGTATATTTGAGTTGTTTTTGTTTGCAAAATCATAATTGCATTGCAATAGAATAAGTAATAAAAATTCAATTTTTTTTTTCACTTTTGAATATTTTATTTGCTTTGTTAAAAGATTTTTTTTTTGATTTTTCATGCTTCTATCAAAACATAGTTAAAACAACAATTATGTCAGAACAAGAACTAAATTGGGAACTTTATAAGTTTTTAATTTAAAACAACAACTAAAATGGAAATTTTTAAGTTTAAAACTTTTAAAGTTTAAAATGGAAACTTTTAAGTTTATATTTTACAACAACAACTAAAATGGAAACTTTTTAAGTTTATAATTTAAAATGGTTGTTATATAAAATTATTCTAGAACTGAAATTGTCACAATAAAGGTAAAAAAAAAAAAAAAATAGACTAAAATTACAATTAAGGAACAAAAAACATCACTATATAATTAATTTAACATCACAGTTTTATCATGTTGCTCTGTTGGTGTTAGGAGTTTTGTGGTGTTTATGATAGCTTGTTTTTAGTTTCTGTTGGTGTTAGGAGTTTTGTGGTGTTTATGATAGCTTGTTTTTAGTTTCTGTTGGTGTTAGGAGTTTTGTGGTGTTTATGATAGCTTGTTTTTAGTTTCTGTTGGTGTTAGGAGTTTTGTGGTGTTTATGATAGCTTGTTTTTAGTTTCTGTTGGTGTTAGGAGTTTTGTGGTGTTTATGATAGCTTGTTTTTAGTTTCTGTTGGTGTTAGGAGATTTGTGGTGTTTATGATAGCTTGTTTTTAGTTTCTGTTGGTGTTAGGAGTTTTGTGGTGTTTATGATAGCTTGTTTTTAGGTCAACTAATCCAGGTGGGAAAAAAGATTTAAATTGATAATAGTTTTTTAATTGACAGTTTTTTTAATTGACAATAGTTTTTTGCATTTTAAGATAAAATTTATGGTAAAACAAATCTTACGATGATATTTTTTCTACTTAAACATTTAAGCAGGTTTACATTTAATTTCTTTTTTTTTTCTTCTAGTTCATACCAAGTAAACATACACAATAAATAGAATCATAATAAACAGGGTATGGGAAGGTGAAATTAAAAAATTTTTCAAAAAATTTTTCATAATAATTTCTTTACAAATAACATCCAAAGGATTCAAAATTGAGAAAAAACTAAGTCAAGAGAAATCAAGAAAAAACGGAGTCAAGAGAAATTGAAAAAAAACTCAGAGTTAAGAAAAATCTGAGTTTCAATAATATATTGTTATAAATAAAAAAATTAAACTATCTATTTGATAATTAAACATTTAACGATTTATAATTCATAACTTTTAAAAAATTTATATTTTTATATTTCTTAGTACTTCAATTATTTAAGTACTTTTTTATCACAATTTTTTAACAAACCAACTTTATCTAATAATTGGCTTTCTAACCCGCATCAATTAGGAACAAGGTGTGAACTTTCAGTTAAATGCCCTTCCGCGTTGCTATGTAATAAAGACTTCTTGGGGCACCTATAGTAAAAATTTAAAAAAAAAAGTTCTTTTTAAATAATATTTTAAAAGATCAAAACATCTATCATTTCATCAGAAAGCGAACTACTAAACTTTGTGATAAATCTAGAAGACAAGGAGAAAACTCTTTCTGCTTCAAATTTCAAAACTGCTTCTGATTTCACACCAGTTACTTCATATTCTTTTAACTGATCGGTGAAGGTCTTGACTTTTTTTGCCTTTTTAGCTGCTGATTGATTTTGATTTAGAACTTCTTGAATTTCGGCAAAAAAAGATGTTGATTGCGATGGTTCTTCTTGTTTGCTTTTAGCGTGATCATCTGATTTGGGTTGGAGATTTTCTTTTGATGCAAATAGTTGATCAAATAATTTTGCAGCATGAAATTGAATATCTTTTTTAGAAGCCTAAAAAAATGTGTGGTTTTTATTAATAAAAAAAAAAAGGGATTGTACAAATAACGACTCAATGATACCATCATAATGTTTTTACGATCTTCATATCTGGAGATTAATGCCTCTGGATCTGGAATATCTGGAGAATAATGCAAAATTTAAACTGATGTCAGTTTCTACAAACTTCAATTTCCTTGCTAATGTTTCCATAGTAATGTCACTCTCTAAAATTGTTGTATTTGGTTTTTCCAAGCGAACTGCAGTGTCAGCAATGACTTCCAATAAGTCAGACAGCGATTTTAAGAAATCTAAGTCAATTTCATCTAACATGTTTAAGCAGTTTAGCTCTTCAAGTGTTTTTTTTTTTTTTTACTGTTCCATCTATTTCGGTTGTCGAGCAACAGTCCTTTGTCATGCGAAGATCCGTATATTTTGTGTATTTTTCTTTTAAGAACTTCATATCGAAACAATGAATAGTTCAAAAACTTAATGAACATTTAAATTGTATCTTCTACCTCTATTGTTTTACCATTCGTCACCTGTGAATCCAAATTTTTCCCGTTTTGCTTTCAATGCAGCCAATTCAGCAATCATTAAATATTTGGCTTCAGCATGAAACATCTTAATTTTTTCTGAAATTGTGGACACTGACCTAGGCAAACTATGCCCATAATTTTCAAAAAACATTCTTAGTGTTTCAGATTGAGTTATTGACCTAATGGAATATCCATCAAGAGCTGTCAACTTGGCAAGAGGATTGTTTAACAACATCTTAGTCAAAACTGGTCTGGAACTGAATGGTTTTAAATCTATTTTCTCACAACTTTTGACGTGTCCAATTAGGCCGCATCAAAAGTTATTATTATTTTACGAACAGTTTTTGTTTACATTATAAATAATGATCTTAACTAATTTTTTTTTTTTAAAGGTAAACTATTGAATTGAAAACTATTAAATATATAAAATAATATTACATTTGCATAATATTTAAAATTTACTGTTTGCTATATCTTTGCTTAAAAATTAAAAAATTCTTGCTTTTTATTATGCATTGCATTTTATTATACCGCAGTTGACTTTGGTGGATTTAAAGAAATACTAATACTAAAAAAATACTATTATAAACAAAAGAGTTTTTGAAATAGGACAATGGAAAAGTATGAGTATGTTATATTATATGGTTTTGAATAGAATAATTTTTTTTTTCATGTGACCCACTGTGCATTACCAATTGGTTTGCGATGTATAGTAGTGTTGTTATTGAACAAAGAAAACACTTACATTTAAAACAATTTTTAAAATTACAATTTACAATTGTAAAAACCGTGTAGAAATAAAATAAGAATTTAATTATTTTACGAGTAAAAAATTGATATTTTCTAAAAACTTCGTCGAAGTTTCTTGATTTGTCTCGAACTCCAAAATTCCAAAAAACCAAGAAAAATCCAACAAAACGGAGTTCTAAATGGATCCACTGATAACATCATAACCATATATATCAGGCCTTGTTTTAAGCATTAGGCATTGAGCTTCTTTTTTTTTTCCTCTTTTCTTGACCTCTTTTTGAGGTTGAAAAAGCAAATTTTTTTTATTTTTTTTTAATATTATAAGAATAATTAAAAAAAAAAATATGCTTAACTGAAATTGCTTACTGCTTAAAATCGCTTTACACGTACATAAATAGATCTATGCCTAACGCTTAAAACAAGCCCTGTATATAGTTATTTACATTTTAAGGATTATAAACAAAACCATATTAATAAACTTCAACATCTTGAAATAGAAGCAAATGCATATGATCAAAACATATGTATTTATTAACTTTTATTTCAAGTTTTATTTATGTTTTAAATTATATTATGATTAATCTACTTTTAAAACTGTTTTCAAATGAAATAATTATTTTATCACAAAAAAATAAATATGCTTTGATTAAAAATTATCCAAGAATACTCCAATTTATCTCTGGAACCATTAAGTAAATTTCTTTTTTTTTGAAGAGTAGTTATTACAATTAGTATTGCATATTTGCAATACTTCCTCAATACACGTCAATTAATATAAACCCTCTTCATATTATCAGCCATCAGAATTAGGAAAAATAAGATCGGCAATAGTTTGCTGACCTTAATCTGTGTGAGGTTGGCATCAGGTTGACAGAAAAAATGTAAAACAGAAGTTTGACCATAAAACATAGAAACAAGGTCAGCAATTTTTTGCTGACCTTTAACACTTCTAGGTCGGCAGTTAGGTCAGCATCGCCGAATGCCGACCCTTAATCCAAGGGTTGTATTATGTAGGTTTATATTAATTAAGGTGTGAAAGTATTTCAAATATGTTTTAAATAACATTTTCATTAGTCCTTTAAGTCTTTATTACCACTTTTTTTTAAAGAAGATAATGTACCATACTTGTAATTTGGTTGCATTCTTGCCGTTTATTGATATCGTGTAAACATGTAAGTTGTTTTTGAAAAAATTTATAATAAAGATAGATAATTTTTAGACTCAGAAAGATTCTTCTGGAATGATGAACCTTGGTGGAAGTTTAACTCGTCAGGTTAATGTTTTTTTTTAATTATTATACAATATGAATATCAATTTGACTTTTTTTTAATAACTTTTTATGTGAAATTTCAAACGATTAAATTAAAAAACCTATTAGAAAAATAAATAATATATATGAACAAGTATTGCTATATTTAATATATGATAATTTGCTGTTACCAATGTGTTATTTTATAAATTAATCATAAGTTTGCAACAACCATTGAATAATGATGCTTGATTTATACAGATTCGTGTAAGTTAGGGCATTGTGAGGGGTTTTCTTCTAAAACTCCTGTAAAATTGGTAATATTAAACAAATGAATAAAACATTTGTTGAAATGTTATATTAGTTTTTTTAAATATATAGAAGTAAAAGTTAAATATATCAGTATCAGATTCTCAAGTGACATTGTAGTTGAAACTCTTAAGGAACATACAATTATATAAAATAGTTTCATTATAGTTTTATATTTTATTTACAACTGTTATAAGTGTTACTAAAAATTTATTTTTATTAATTATTTATTAATTATATTAATTTTTATTGTTTATTAAAAAATTCTTGTTTGTTTGTTTTTTATTTTTTGCTATGCATTTATTATAAATAGTTTATATTTAGGCAGAGATAGAAAGTAGTGTTAGTGATATAAATCCTCATATAGTCAACATTGGAAAGATGATAGAGGTATATTTTTATTTTGTTTAATATTTTTATAAAATAAGATTTTGTTACACGCATTTTATTTAGCTCATGTCCTTGAATAATAAAAATTAAATAAACAGTAGTAAAAAAAAGAAAGTAAAATTTATTTTTTAAATTATTATAATAAAGTAATATTAAGTACAGCTACCTCTTTCATAGACAATTAGGTAATATTGCCTATTTGTACTTTGTTCAAAAAAAAGATAAGTCAAACAATCATAAGCTTCTTCATTTAATAAAGTGTAATAGACTCTACATTAAATCTTTAGTTTGGATTTAAAAAAGAAAAACACTGTATGATGCAAAACCAAATTATTTTTCAATTTTTAATATTTTAATAATAAACGAAAGTATTTTAAAACCTAATAAGGGTTCGTCCATAAATTACGTCATGCAGTTTCTGACATTTTTTGACTTCCGATATATTACATGCAAAATATTATATATATAATAAATAACAATATATTATACATGCAAAAATATTATTTTAAGAATACAATTTCTTTTATCCAGCAACGTAAGGGTGGTCGAGTGGCCTTCGGCTAATAAAACGAGGGTCCCAGGTTCGCTTCTCGGTATCGAAATTATTTTATTTTTTTTAGTTAGTGCACAAAGATTGTTCTTTTGTTGCTGCACACTTTGGGGCACCAACTAAATATAGTTCTGCACTTGAGCCATATAAATTCAAAGCGTGTGAACGTGCACTGCACATACAGCCGTAACAGTCTGTTAACAGGCTGTAACTCAGCGTAGTTAAGGAAAGATCCGAAGAAAAATATAGCGCTAAGGCCGTTTCGCTTTTAAAAAATGTCGTTTTATGCGCGTTTTGATTGGTTTATTTAAAAAAAAAATCACGAAACTCATTGTTTTATTTTGTTTTCAAATATTCGGTTATTTAAAATCTACGAGTTTAAAATTTTAACTAATTACTTTAGAGCCATTTATTAAATATTTTGATGCTGTAAACATGGTAGCTTTTTATTTTCAAATAAAAGAGAGATTTTTGAAATGTAAACACTTAACACATTTGTTTCAGTTGTTTTCATGACGCTGCCACGTCGCGTTTTATGTATTTTAGTGGTAGTTTTATTTTGTTTTATACTTTGATTGAAAAAAGATTTATAAAAAAATAATAAAAAGATTAAATTCTACTTTTTAAAAATATATAATAGTAATAGTTGAAAATAAGCGAAACGCACCAAAAGTTGAAGTTTAAAAACGCAAATTTTAGTTTTTAAATAATGCAAATTTTTCGGATCTCCTTAACTACGCTGAGAAGTACTCCGTTAACGGAGTGTACACATTGACTAAGTAAGATTTAGGCATAGTTGATTTTACAATCAACATGTAGATACATCAACTGAGGGTTTTGATTTGGTCAGATACTCTTTTAATTAAAAAAAAGTCTTCTCTAAAAAAAAAACGTCGCAAAACCGAGACCCCCCCCCCTCCTCCTTCATAACAAATCATCACAAAATCGAATGTAACTGTATTAAATGTTGTAGGTGCATCCAAATGGATTAAATGTTGTAGGTGCATACAACTGAATTATCCATTTCTAATGTAAAAATATAAAACATGAAAATATTTTATATTGCAGAATAGGCGAATACTGTTTTTTTTTTTGTTTTTTTTTTTGACTATTTTTTTAAATGTGATTTCACTAATTTTCCTCGATGAAATTTCCCTAAACTTTACCATTGGAATTATCAAGCTTCCTGGTGGTCAAGGAAACTTAAGATTCTAAATAATTCTTTGCTTCAGTTTTGGCCTGCAGGCCAAAAGTTATCTTAAAACTCTTGATTTTGAAATTTTTGACCTCAATCTTGAAAGGCTTGATCTTGCAACACGTGGTCTTATACTTTGGTCTTGGTTTTTTTAACAACTCTAAAAATTGCCCACAAATTTTTCCAAAATTTTTTTTGAATTTTGAAAAACTTCCCAGAATTGAAATTTTTTAGGAAATCTTAATTACTTGCGATGACTTAATATGTAATTACTTATTTAAATGTGAATTAAAAATTTGAGCAAAGTTGCTCAAATTTTTATTCGCGTTAAGCTGAGCAATTACTCAAAAAATGCTGAATAAAAACTATTGCTTATTTTAACGGCCTTTAACGGCGCTTACACGTTGACTAGGCCTCTTTAAGTTGGTCATGGATTTTACGCAGCGAACTCGTGAAGCTTAGTAAAACTGTCTTAACAAAAAGAATAAAAACTGAGTGTATTAATTGTCACCCGGAAATTTTTTTCTATTCCTGAATTAAATTAAAAAATGCCTTTTAACATTTTCTAGGATATGGAAAATAAAATTAGAAATACATTGAACGAAATTTACTTTGGTAAAACAAAAGATATCGTAAATGGTTTAAGGTATGTTTTAGTAATTTATGATTACTTCTATAATTTCAATTTTATCAGTTTTAAATTGAAACAATTTTAATTTAGAAGCGTTAATAGTTTGGACGAAGCTAAAAAGCAAAATAACCTTCAAGCTGAACTGTTTAAAAATTTAAAGCAACGACAGAATGCTCCAAAATAAATTAGAATATAGTATTTTCAAGCACTGCTCAGCGGAAAAATAATTTTTTTTATATTAAACATATAACTTGACCGATAAAAATTTTTTAAACTATCTATTTTTTCGACATTTTTTATTTGATTTTTGTATTTTCAGCGCGCCAGTGCTTTTAAAACATTTTCGTGTTGACGGAGCACTTTTCGTTTGTCGATAATTAGGTTTTCGTTTCATCGTGTTTATTTTTCTTGTACAGTTTTAAATAGTTAATTAAAGCACATTAATATTCTTAATTCGTTTTTTTTCTTTTAAACGTTTGTTTGACATTTTTGCCTTTCATTTGAACCCATTTATCATTCGAAGTGTCGTAAAAAAATTTAGGTTGCTTTTTAAATATTGTCTTTTTGACAATATTTAGAAAACAACCTTTGTTTTTTTTTTTAAGAAATGCCGTCAAAATATATTAGACAAATATATATATATATATTAGTTTTAAATGAAACTGGTCTATTCTAAAAACTGCACCTGCTTATAATAATATTTCCAAAAAAAAAGTCTGCTATGTTAGCGAGAAAAAAATTTAAATAATTACCCATAAGGATCAAGAAAATTTACTAATCAAAAAATCTGAACTAATTTCTAAATGCAGACATGAACACAAATACTTTTAAAAAATTATGCAGACAAATGACCTAAAATAATCCTAACTCTAATGAATTTTTTTCGCAACTGAAAACTAATATAGCTAACGTAACTTCCTGGTTTAAACTGATAACTTTCCTGGTAACATCACTACCGTTTTTATAAAACTATAACTATTTCCAACTTTCTGTGAATTATTTCTATAATTTGAATTTTTTGATATTTAAACATTCTTCCTGATGAACCTGCTGAAGCTGAGACAGACTGTAGAAGATTAAAAAACCGCAATTATAACGACTAGAAAGTTTTTTTTTATTAGTGGTGTTTTTGTTTTATTAAAAAACATTTTTAAAACATGCGTAAATGTTGCTACATCGACTGACAAATAGCCTGACTCGCAACGGAGTGCTGCTACATCGATTGACAAATAGCCTGACTCGCAAGGGAGTGCTGCTACATCGACTCAGGGTTTGGTTTGGGCAGGCAGTCTATCATTTAAAAAAAAAAAAAATTTAAGTTTTTAAACTTTTTCTGGTCTGGTTTATTAACGCGCTCTTTAAAACTACAGTTTATGGGAAACTCTTTTTAACTACCATGCAAGAGTGTATATATATATATATATATATATATATATATATATATATATATATATATATATATATATATATATATATATATATATATATATATATATATATATATATATATATATATATATATATATATATGAAAATTGATGAACTTTATTTTTATGATTATCCTTGTCAGTGTCTATTAGAGAGGAAGTAAACTCAGTAAAGTTTAGTTGGCCTGCAATATTTGAAAGGACCATTTGCTGCTATATGCAATAATGCAGCATTGCTAATTTCCTGACTTTTTAGAGATCAGGAAATTAGCAATTTTCACTTTAAAATATCTTTTTGCAAAAACAAAATGAATAAGTTTCTAATTTTAAAATTATTTACATTTAGACTTTTGAGAAGAGCGGAGATTATTTTGAACTTGAGGAAAAAATCAGACCATTTGGTGAAAATTTAAAAAAATGGAGCTGTTTCACACGCCTTGAATTTCATGAAATTCAATGTGCATTTCTTAAAAATCAGGCAGGTTTTTATTCCGAGTAATAAAGTGTCAGGTCAGGAGTATGGTCTTCATAATCATCCTGCTACTGGTAACATGTAACCCAGTGCAACCTGTTCCATGTTTTACTGCCTTGCAGGATTTGCTTTCTAAGCAAAGGCTGGAAGGAGTGTTCTTCCTGTCATCAGTACTATCTTATATCAGTCATGCCTATAGTAATTTTTTTTTTCATAACGTTAGAGGTGCCTTAGTTACTGTATTAGCTCACCTGTAATCTACTTAAATGTATGTTTGTGTCTGAACCTCTGGCGTGGTGTTCGCTCACCCGTAAGTTACTTTATGTTTTTTATGTATGTTTGTGTTCTGTCTGAACCTTTGGCGCGGTGTTGACTCACCCGTAAGTTGATTTATGTTTGTTTGTGTTCTATTTATACTCTAATGCAGTGTGAGCTCAGTAACTAACTACTTACTCCAACTACAAAACATACACTCACCTTAGGCTCCTGTATTTTATTAGATGCAGTGTTTTTCCTAATGCACTTCCAAAATGTCATGCTTGGTTTTCTCAAAGTACTGTTGCGGGAAGTAACTCCTTTTAACTACTCCAGGTCAGGTCAGGATAATCGAGATCAATCTTGCTACTGGTAACACGTAACCCAGTACCACCTGCCACAAGCCCTGCTGCCTTGCAGACTCTTCTTAGGCAAAGGCTAGGAGAAATAAACTCCAACTTAAAATTCCCCTGCCTTGGGGCTCTTGGTTTGAGTAAAGGCTAGAGATGATGTCTCGATAAAAATACTCATCTTGGGCAGATGTTAACTGCATCCAGCTACTGTCTTGTAGAAGGCCTCCTAGGCAAAGACTTTAGGGGTAAGCAGAAAAATTCTGCTAACCAGCTTCGAACCCCTTCTTCATCTATTAGGCTGGCGTAGATGTAACCTGTGTTACATTGTTTCCTGCCTAGGATGATGAATGCTGGATCTCCTTGACTCTACTCATAGAATTTTGCTTATGCCTCCTTGATAATGGCCATGCAATTCTTCCTGTTATCTCCATATGAGGATACAGCTCTAAAACTCAGTTTAATGGTTCTGAGGCCGGCTGGTAGAAAGGTTTCCCGAACTCGTGGTAGCTCTCAGAGAGGCTGATTCCATCAACAGCTGCAAAATATCAGAGTATTAACAGTGCCATGTTGCGCATGGATGGTGTCCCTGTTGATGCTTTTGGTGTGCATTGTCAAGGCCATATACGGCCATATATATATAACCCAAATCATGACCAAAGTAACCAAAAATTTAAAACCTAAAAAACCATCCCCACCACCTAAATATTTTATTATATCTTTTAAAAAATTTCGCGGTCTATGAAGCAACTTTCCATCAGTTGAGTCTTACCTCCTGCAAAATTCACCAGACTTGCTTGCACTCAGTGAAACAAATTTAAATTCTGCAATTGCTTCTTCAGATGTCAGTGTTGAAGGGTACTATCCTTTGATTCGTAAAGACTCAAATAGTCACATGCTAGGTTTAGGGGTATACATACGCATTAATTCCCCTATTTGTCGTGAAATCAGGTTCGAATCCTTTGACCATTCTTTTATGTGCTTTCGCCTAGCACCTCTTCACTCTATCACCTTTCTCTTTGTTCTTTATCGTTCTCCTTCTTCCTATGATTGCACTCTCTTAGATGTTATCTCTGATCAAATTGACCATTCCCTCTCTCTTTACTCCTCTGCCAATATTGTTGTTGTTGGTGATTTTAATGCCCATCACACTGAATGGCTTGGCTCTAACACCACTGATTCTGCTGGCACTAAAGCCTTTAACTTCTGCGTTTCTCAATCTCTTACTCAGATAGTTAACTTTGAGACTCGTTTTCCTGACAACCCTAATCATTTACCTTCACTCCTTGACTTATGTCTTGTCTCTGACCCTAGCTTATGTTCAGTTTCTCCCCTTTCTCCCTTAGGTGGTTCTGACCATGCAATGATCTCTATAAATCTTTCTTCTCGTACTTCTTTTTTGGGCTCACCTTATCATCGCACCACCTACTACTACCCTAAAGCTGACTGGGATTCCTTTCGTGATTTTCTTCATGATGGTCTTTGGGCTGATGTTTTTTCTCTCTCAACTGACAAATGCGCCTCCTACGTAACCTCCTGGATTCAGGCTGGAATGGAAGCTTTTATTCCTTCGCGTCGGTTTCAAGTCAAGCCTCATTCTACTCCATGGTTTTCTCCTTCTTGTGCGGCTTCTATATCCAATCGTAATCATCTTTTTCATCTTTTTCAAAAGAACAACTCTCTTGAGAACAAACGGCTATTTATTATTGCAAGAAATCGATGTAAAAAGGTGCTTTCTGATGCTAAACTCCATTATTCTCAGTTCACTAAATCTCGCATCTTATCGCAGAAGTTAGGCTCTAAAGACTTTTGGAAAATCTTCAACAGCATTATTAACAAGTGTAGATCTAACATTCCATCTCTCATTCATGGGACTGATCTTATTACCTCTCCCAAGGATAAGGCAGAACTATATGCAAAGAACTTTTCTTCTAATTCCACTCTTGGATCTTATGGACATTCTCTTTCTTCCATTCCAGTCAAACAGGTTGACCCATTGTTAGACATTCAAATCACTCCGGCTTCTGTTGCTAAAGTCATATCTCAATTAAACTCGTCCACAGCTTGTGGTCCAGACAACATTCCTGTCACAGTCTTGCAGAATTGTTCTCCAGAACTTTCTTCAATTCTCTCTAAACTATTTAACAAGTGTTTGACTGAGTCTTGTTTTCCTGCTTGTTGGAAAATGGCATCTGTGGTTCCAATATTCAAAAACTCTGGAGAAAATTCTGACCCCTCCAATTATCGTCCGATCAGTCTTCTTTCTGTTATTAGCAAGGTCTTTGAGTCTTTGATCAACAAATTCCTCACATCTCATCTTGAGTCAAATAAACTACTTTCAGACAATCAATACGGTTTTCGATCTCCTCGCTCTACGGCTGACTTGCTAACTGCTGTAACTGAAAAATTTTATCGTGCATTAGATGGAGGCGGTGAGGCTAGGGCTATTGCTCTCGACATATCTAAAGCTTTCAACAAAGTTTGGGATGCTGGTCTTCTCCATAAGCTTGCTTCATATGGTGTTTCTGGGAAAGTTTTTGAGATTATTAAATCATTTCTTTCTAACCGGTTTATTAAAGTCATCCTTGAAGGCCAACACTCTTCTTTATTTCCAGTAACTTCTGGGGTTACCCAAGGTTCCATCCTGGGCCCTCTTTTGTTTCTTATCTACATAAACAATCTTTCTGACAACCTTTCATCTAAAGTAGCTCTTTTTGCTGATGACTCATCTTTATACTCCTATCTTGACAAAAAGTCTTCTCTTTTCGATCGCCTAGAACAAGCAGCTGATCTTGAATCCGATCTCTCTTCAGTAATAGATTGGGGTTCACAGTGGCTTGTGAATTTTAACTCTAAAAAAACCCAGTTTCTTACTGCAAACAACTACCTTAATATGGTCAACATTCCTATATTAATGAATGGCAATCCTCTTACTGAGTCCTCCTCTTT